GGTATTTTGTCATATCTTGCCCTGTCCGACGTCACACTCTTAACTTTTAAGTGAAACCATACTATATTCTATGTTCATAATATTTATGTATATATTTACCATATGACATTTGAGGTACTAGGTGTGAAGTATTGCAAGTACTGCTTGTAACTGTCAGTAGGACGATCTCTGTCGCACTGTTTGCCTTTATATGTGATGGTAGCTTGCTAGGAGCTTTTAGGCTATGTAAATTTACATTACCAAAGAAACTCTTTCATGCAACTGATTTTCTGGGATTAACATCCAATTGATCTTAGCGTCAAAGTGATGTGTACCTGTATAGGATTTCCCGCAATGTTTACATTCTTAAGACCTCTCTCCATAATGTTTCCTATCACTACTAAGTTTTGTGGAGAAAACACTTCCCCAAGATGTATATTCATAAATCTTCTCTTAACCGTGAATTCTATGTACAATGAGGCTTGAGGAATGAGCAAAGGCTTTCCCACATTTCTTACATTTATTAGGTCTCTCTCAATTATGAGTTCTTCTATGCAGTGAGTGTTGATGAATTAGAAAGCGCTTTGTCTCACTCCTTACATGCAGAAGGTTCCTGTCCACTGTGGGTTTACACGTGTCTAGTAAGATATGAAGAAAGCCTAAAGGCTACCCCATTCCTAGGACTCTTCACACTGTGCAGTCTTAAATGCCCACTGAGGCATGAGGAATGGGCAAAGGCGTTCTCACATTGCTGGCATTTATAGTGCTTCTCTCCACCGTGTTCAAGAATGTTTGGGTTGAGGGGTGAAGGATGAGGAATGAAGACAGGCCTTCTCACATTCCTTTATTCATAAGGCCTCTACACACCGTAGTCCTGGATGCCTGATGAGGTATGATGACTGAGTAAAGGGCTCCCCACATTCCTAACACTTATAATTCCTCTCTCTTGTGCGAGTTTCGCATATGTACTGTGAGTTGCGAAGATGATGAGTAGTTTTTCCCACATTCCTTACATTCATAAGGCTTCTCCCCACTGTGAATTCTTCTGTGACTAGTCAGTGTTGAGGATTGAGTAAAGGCTTTGCCACATTGCTGACAGGCATAAGGCTTCTCTCCACTGTGGACTCTTGTATGTCTGATGAGGTGCGAATATTGAGTGAAGGCCTTCCCACACTCCTTACATTCATAATTCCTCTCTCCTGTGTGAGTTCGC